ACATTTACATGCTTTCTGCTATTGAGACACTAAATTTTTATTCAAAGCCCTTTGATGTACCCCATAATTTATGCTGATATGTATATAGGTACAGCCAACTTTTTAAATATCAAAGTACTTTATGACTTAGACAGTCAAATTCAAATCAACTGTATTAGAGAAAAAAAGTTTATCAAATTGTTTTGGTCAAACATCTTGCTTCAGAAAGTATATTCTGGGTCTGTGATCTCCCCCACTTTAAGAGTATTTTTTACTCATCCTCTTTTAGTTTCTGGTCATTCAAGGAAATTAATTCAATCACTTTAGATTTGGCTAGAACACCCAAACCATGCAAATATGGGTTTTTATTCCATTTCATTAGAATTAGTAGCAAAAGAGTTAGGGGGGAAAAGTTGTTTAAAGAGCATATTTGGCTCTCAGGAAATGAAAATTTTTCCCTAAATCTTTGCTACTTGCCATTGTTCTCATAAACCCTCCTGACAACTATTGCCTTCAGTTGCTCCCCATTGTGGTGAGCCCCCAAATCCACACTTGAAATCTGAATCTATTTGCAAATTTGGGGATGGTTTGCATGAGAGAGAGAGAGAGAGAGAGAGAGAGAGATTCCTGCTGGAATGACAGACATATTGTAATGGTCTCCTGTAAGTCCTGACATTGTGTCCTTTTTCCTGTGTGTTTGTGAGACAAAGAACATTCTTAAGTACAGTAAAGCAAATGTGGTATCTGTGATTGTTAGCAAACAAAGGCCAACATACAATTCTAGATCAATTTGTTCTGCTAATTGTTTTTTTAACTCAACAAAAGAGCTCAAAATTAAAATTTGACCAAGCTTTTAAAAAGTCATTGGGCCTAATCAATCATGTTTACAACTGAATAGCTTTTTGCATAGAAATCTTATCTTCACTTTGTTATTTCTCTCTACTCGGCCTTTTGATCAGGGTGGTTGAATTTGATTTGTACAGGATGCTTAGTTTTCCTTAGGATAGATTATGTGACATTTTTATTACTTTTGCCACTGAACCAAAGTAGCTTTTTCATAGGTTTTGTAAATGTCAAATTCCTTGTTAGAAAGTCAGAGTTAACATTCCAAAAGTCAAAGGCTGATATAACTAAGGTTGATATACACACAGTTTGAAGTAATTTCATATTACTTTCTCTTATTCTCCACAAATCAAGATAAGGTACTTTTCAAATAACTATTTAAAAAAAATCAAAATGCAGTCAGAATTTTTAAAAGACACATGATATCCTAAAATGTGGTATCTATCTATATTTTAAGTATAAATAAAAAACATGAACATACAGGTAAAACCAATGTGAAGTCAATTTGCTACAACTAGTTTTGTAATTTTAAGTTAACTAACTCTGACACCAATTCTTTGGAACTAACTTTTATAAAAGTTTTGGAAGATTTAAAATTAGATTTCTATCAGCTTCAGAAGTAAGCTAAATTTGTTTACTCCAGTTATCTCCAAGTAAATAAGATCATTCAAGTGTATTGGTGATTAGGTTGCATCTTTCTTTTCTTTATCCTCTCAAAATTAGGAAATTACAAACTGGTAGGTTATTTAACACGCCTTCAAAGGAAGAGGAAATGGCTAAGTTTTTTTATTGGAATCAGTGAGTTCAGGAGACTATGATAAATTTAGGGTCACAAACTCAGATGCTTTTTGTGGCTGGACAAACGTTGTGCATAAGAGATGGGAGCTGGTGGGTGAGGACTAGGGGGGCTGGAGACACCTGTCCCTCTGCTGCATTCCAGGGAGGTGGGGCCCGGAAAACTCTCTCTGAAGCTTCTACTTTCTCTGTGAGGTTTTTTAATGTTCAATCTTCTGATTTCCAATGTTGGCAATTACCACATTTGTCTGTGTATAATTGAACACTCTCTTACAGACTTTTTAGGGAAAAGTAAGGATGCACATTGTACGTGGGCATAATGATTACATACCATGGGTATGATGATCCTGTGTACAATGTGCATAAAACCATGGGTGTGTATTGTAAATGACAAAATATGGGTATTTTTTCAAAGATTATGTGTGATCTGTGAGCTGCATTTGTCCTACAAACCTACTGCCTACAAGCCAATAACTGCCCACAATAATTACATATTGGGAGCTAATCCATTAAGCACAATTACTTATAATAAGATATATATAATTGTCAGTGACCAGAGGGGAGCAGACAGGGGATTACAGGTGAAAAGTGTGAAGGGTTTGCAGGAACAATTATGAAGGACACATGGACAATAACAAGGAGGGGGTGGGAACAGGGGAAGGAGGTGGACAGGGCTGGGGTGGTGGAAAGGGGTGGGAAAAAAGGCAGAGAAATGTACTTGAACAACAATAAAAAATGTTAAAATAAAAAAGATGTATAATTGTCAAGTTCATTTGAATTCTCATTTTGGCTGTTCTGAGTACTATATTTGATAAGTTAAACAAATATGAAAAGGTTGCTTGGTGACTTAAGAATCAAAGTAAACAGTTAAAGGATCCTGATAGATAACTTGATAAACTCTTTTATTCAACAAATAGATGTGAGTGTCTTAAACGTACCAGGCACTGTCTTAAGCACCAGAAATACAACTGAGTACCTATCCAGAGCTGGGAGGTAGTCAATAAATAAGTAAACAAGAAAACCAGCACTTAGTGATAGCTACCACACAGGAAAGTAGAATAGGGCAATGTGATAGCAGGTGCCTGACTGGTTTCCTCATACTAGCCAATACTCAAACTGCAGGCTATCAGAGTGCCAAATTCTTCCTCTTTACTCCTTTTGTTCTAGGTCCCTCTATGAGGTTGCCTGTGGTATGGCTTAATGAATTGAAGGCCAGTTTGTTTTAAATTAGTCACCTTTCAATCTTCTTCACAAGGCTTGGGGGCCATGTTGATCCAAGAGGGATTTAGGGAAACCTCTAATTGAATCAGCAATTTAATTACAATGCCTGAGTCAGTGCTGCAGATGGCTACCTCCAAACATTTTATGTTGATTCCTTTTAGCTTGTATTTTAGAGAGTACCATTTCCTAGCATATCCCTAAGTTCTGGGAATGTATCATTTAAGGATTTCTACCACTTTGGGGGAACAAGGACAAATAACAACTTGGCAATGAAACTCATTGCCAAGACCAGGGCTTCTCCCACCTAAAAATGCACATTCGCAAATATATTTCAAACTCTTCCCTCTGGTATTGTAATCTGTCCCTGCCCATTGAAATGGAGAAACTCTAGAATGTCAAGTCAGAAGATCCAGGTTCAAAGTCATCGATTTGCCTCTGCTGTGGACCACCTTTTTCATCTCAGAGTCACCTAGCCCTCACAGCCTTATCTTGAAGACCCACCTATTAAGGATCCTGGGAGGACAGAATGACAGTGTATATTTGAAAGCCAACCCTGCAAAGCTCAACATTATTTATTATTATGAGTAGAATGGCCATTGAGATTATGCCTCTTTTGCAATTTGTAAAATACAACAAATGGGTAATGAGGCAGAGCCAGAGCCAGACCCAGACCCAGGTAGACAGATCTCTTCTGTGTCAGCGGACCACTGAAGAGCAGATAAATAACATTTTTAAAGTTATATTTAAGCTCAGAAATAGAACTGCAGATTTTCTGTAATAGTAAGAGTAGTAGTGGTAGTAATAATAAATGGCTAACATTTGTTGATCACTTTCTCTGTTCCAGGTATGGAGGTAAACACTTTGCATTGATTATCTCTTCTAATGGCTCAAGAAGACGAAGAAAAAGTAAAGTTAATAAAATGCGAAGCTGGAAAAAAACTATCACTGTGTACACAATGTGCACTATCACCCCCAAAAGTTCTTTAAATACGAGCAGGTTTTGAGAGCCATTCTTAGAGGTTTGGTGTCTTCTACAGCTCTTTGGGCCCCTTCAGACCACAGTTATCCAATCTCCCCCTTCTCAGCAGGAAAGGCCACGACCTTCCCTGCCCCACTGGCGGCATAAAGAATTGTCTTGGATGTGCTGGTATTTTACCTAGTAAGCACAATGCCCATAACAACAACAAGAAGAACAAAACAACCCTTCTGGTTAAATATGTAAACACGTAATGGAAATGCAAAAACAATACATTCAATAGGTGTATCTTAGAGTGTATCTTTTTGGAAAGCAAAAGGATTTCTCTCATCTCCCCTGACTGCTATATCAAGACTTCCATAAACTTCTCAGAATATGAAACGTGTCCAACAAATGAGGACACTGGGCTGAGAGGTGCGGCCCCATTTTCATCTGTGCCTGGATGCAGGAGGAAATAATGCTAATACAGCCGTTTGCCGCAGGGCTGGTGTTTTTCATAAAGAGCTGGCTGGGCAAGGTTGGCGCTGGAGCAAGCAAGAGGAGAGAGGTTTTGTCTTCCTGAGTGTGAATATAGACATGTGCGCCTGTGCAGACAGCGTTCAGCATTCGAAGGGCGAATTCAAGATCCTGTGGAGGGGGTGGGGAATACCATCACCATTCACGTTTATGTACATGTCACTTGTGTTGGAAACATATCCGTCTAGCATCGTACCTGTATAACACTCATTTGGGAGTGGGAAAGAAATGGCTGTTTGGGAGTGGGTGCTGCAGTCACTGGTGGGTGACCCGACGCTGCGGTGGACCGACGACCTGAAACTGGAAAAAGCGGAGGCAGGAGCCCAGTCGCGAACACGAGCCTATTCGCAGGATCCCGGCGCGTGCCGACTCCTCCGGGATCCCCAGCCCACCAGCTCAAGCAGCTCCTCGCGCCTTCTCCTCCCGCCTCGCCAGGCGCGGGGCGTGGTGGGGGGTTGGGACCGGCGGGGGACCCCCGGGCTAGGCGGGCCGGAGTCTCCCGCTTCCCCCGCCCCCTCTCCCGCGGGTCCCGCGGCTGTGACGGCGCGTCCCGGCTGAAGGGGGCGCTCGCGCCCAGGAGCCGGGCGCAGCAGGTGCCGCCGTTACCTCCACCTCCGCGGGGGGAGAGGGGGCGGGACTGGGGGAGCAGAGGAGGAGGAGAGCCCTGGGCGCAGGGAGATCGGCGCCGGGAGCCCGAGAGCGCGGCCGCCTCGCCTGGCTGGGACCCGGGCTCCGGCTTCCGGAAGGCGCGGCGGTCGGATAAATACGTCCCGGGCGCCTGGGAGCAGCGGGCACTGCACGCACGGCCGGCACCTCCGACACTGCGGACCGCAGGGCGGCCGGCAAGGTGCGGCACCCGCTCCTCCTCCCGCCGCGGCCGGCGCGGAGCGGCGGAGAGCGGCGGGCTCCCCCGCCGGCGCCCGGGCCTCGGAGCCCATGAGCTGCGGCGGCTGAGGGCCGCGGCTGGCCTTTGCCCGCCGTCTTCCCGGCGCCGGAGCGGGGCGCAGCTCCCTGGGCGCGGGGTCTGGGCCAGTGACATGGGGGCGGACTGAGGCGCCGGGGCAGCCGAGCGCTCTCTCTCAGCCGCGGGCCTTGCTCGGAGGCGGCGGCGGGCGCCTGGTGCGGCGCGCTCTGCTCGGGGCACCCGCGGAAGCCTCCGCCGCGCTCTATGCGCCTCTGTGGACGTCGTGGGCCCGGGCCATGGCGATAGACCGGCGGCGCGAGGCGGCGGGCAGCGGGCCCGGGAGGCAGCCACCCCTAGGCGAGGAGAACGGCGCTCTGCCGCCTGGGGACGCGGCTTCCTCGGTGCCCCTCGGGGGACGCGCCGGCCACGGCAGCGCCGGGGAGATCCAGCCGCTGCCCTCTCCGCATCCCGCCGGCGGCGGTCAGCACTCGAGCTGCTGCTCCGCGGCGTCGGCCCCGAGCCTCTTGTTGCTGGACTACGACGGGTCGGTGCTGCCTTTCCTTGGGGGCCTGGGCGGGGGCTACCAAAAGACCCTCGTGCTCCTCACCTGGATCCCCGCGCTATTTATCGGCTTCAGCCAGTTCTCGGATTCCTTCCTTTTGGACCAGCCGAACTTCTGGTGCCGCGAGGCCGGCAAAGGCGCCGAGCTGGCGGGAGTCACCGCCACTGGCCGGTGGGGAGCCGAGGACTTGGTCAACTGGACTAGTCCCCCGACCACCCTCTTCTTCACTGCCGCCTGGGGGTCCGCGGGCCACCTCAGCAACTGGAGCGGAGCGGACAGGGGTGACACGCCACCACTACCGTCCCCTCCAGACAAGGGGGGCAACGCCTCTAACTGCGACTGCCACGCATGGGACTATGGTATCCGCACAGGCCTCGTCCAAAACGTGGTCAGCAAGGTAAGGGCCGCGACCGAGCAGGCCCCGGTGTCCTTCACCTGAGCCTTTTCCCCTCCTAGATCCCCTTCACCCTTCCCTCCGTCCCTCTCCTTACATCCGAGATCTAAGCCCAGGCAGCCCGGGAGGAAGTCACTAAAGTGATGCTAGTCTGTGTGTATAGGCATCTCTAATTGGCTCAATCGCCTCCCGTCCTCTAAAGGAGATGCGTTTACTTGGGTGTGAAAGGAGAGCTTTTTTCGGTCCCCCGCAGTGACACTGCCTCCCAACTCTAAAGGGGCACCATAGCCTTTCCTAGTTTGCACCCAATCTCCTGTCCCAGTGCGCATAGGGAAAGAGCACCCCTCCACCTAAGAAGACTAGAGCTTTCTCTGCCACCCTTCTAACTATCGCCCTCAACACGGAAGGGTGGCCTGTGCAGGGTCAGTCCTCTGACCTGTCACCAAGCCTGCTCCGGAAGACCTGCCTCATTCCAGGTCTGCTGGCCAGAGCCAGACCCAGGGCTCTGCTTTTCTGCCTGGTTAGTTGTCCCTATGTCTCCCATAAAGAAATGTCTATCCGTAAGCATAGTGCCCCATTCCCAGATACCTCAGCCATTGCCCGCTTGCTTTGGAAAACCAACTAAAGAACCAAAGTTGTAGCTGGAGAAGCAAAGAGTTTTTGAAAATCCCCACCCCATCCCCGCTCAACCTATTCCAAGATGGGCACAATGGGCCTTAGACTTTTCCACCCCAGTGTTCCCTCCATTCATTTCTTCAAGACTTTAGTAAACATCACTGGAGTGTAGGAATGATGCTAAGAATGTTTTGGTGCCCCAGGCCCACCACCGCTGCTACATAGCAGCTTCTTTTGTCTGAGGTGCTGAGACCCTGGTCAGCTTTAGCTGAACTTCCAACTTACTACCAGTCTAGGGGAGACCACCTAGCAGAGGTATTGTATTGTGTGGAACAGAACAGTAGTGTTTGGTGAGAGGTGTGTGGCCAGCATAAAAATGGAAAATGAGCAATGTTAGAAAATCAGTGCCCAAGATATCTATAATTTTCTGGATTTCTTAACATATAAGAGATATCTTATGTCATTTTGTCAAGCAATTTGTGTGTTTTTGCCCCTTCTGTGTTTTAAGTAACTAACTTGCATTTCAGAGTAAAGGTAGACTTTTTCCTCTTCTGGGCAGCTCTAGGCAGAGTTTTCAATGATTTGTTTAAATGCGAGACTGACATTTAACAGTTTATGATAATGTACATGTATTTTATCCCAAATGCATGTTAGTAAACAATTGTAGCTCACAGATATGTAAGATGAAACTCTTACATCATCATGACCCTTATTTTAGTCTCAGCAAGAAGTGATCTATCCTGTGGGAGCTGTCTGGATTAGCTGTTAAATAGGGAAGATCCTTCCAGTTTAGTTCACCCTGACACCCGCTAGCTCTGTCCCAGCTCAGGCTGGCCTTCCCAAAGGAGTTTCTGTGACTCTCTTTCCCATTGATGGGGGGCAATATTTTTCTTTTTACCAGTATGGAAAAGTTACAAACAACGACTACAGTGACTATTTTAATACTCTGTATTTTTGTGAAAATAAGGATTTGACAACATTTTCAAATCTTTTAAGCCCATTTTTTAAAGTAGAGGAGGAGTAATATAGATCAAAGCAAATGTGGGTGGAGGGTGCTCTGTCCTGGGGTCAGAGAAGAAGGAACCTTAAAAGTTAGGAGGGGGATGGACTATCATTATCTTAGCGGTAGGGACTTAGGAACAGCTCTTCACACTCCACCTGCCATGGGTGGTGGGAGGAAAGAACTAAAATGGTTCATGAAGACAGGCCATGGAGGCATATTGGGAGCTGGAAAGATTTTCTACATTAGCACTCGAGAGGGTCAAAGATGGCACCAGGTGTGCGGTGTGTTCGAGGGGTGCTAGGTCAGTCACAGTTCCGTATAGCTGACAAGGCAAGCCTGGGAGGAGAAGACTTTGGGACAATAGTTAGAGACACACTTTCTTGTAAGATAAAAACTAGAAGGCACATATCGATTTTCACACACAAATAAGATCTAAATAAAGGACAGTCCTTCCACAGTACTCTGTTCCATAACCCATGCTTTAAAGAGCTCCTAACACACATTTTTTGGCATGTGCTAAGAGTTTCTCCTCTGTTGGCTGGGCATGTTGGATACACTAGCAGATGGACAAATGTGGAATCTACTGGATGCTGATTTCTAGAAGTCAGGTGCCTATCAGCTTTATCAGTAGAAGCAAAAGTAGGTTTGCCTTCTGTCAGTGAATGAAAGTTCAGGGTCTGAGAAGTTGCCTTTTGTACCCTCTTCCCTGACACCATCCTACTTGCAAATAGGCCTCATGCAACGTCATTATCATTAGACTTCCTTCAGCATGTACAAGGGGGGACCAAAAAAAACCCCTGGCATTTATTTATAAAAAATTGTGTATTTATTGTTACATGTTTGAGCTTTAGTCACCTTCAGAGTACTCTCCATTTGATGCAATACACCTATCGAGACTTTTTCCCACTGCTCAGAACAGTTTTTGAACTTGTCGATTTTGATGCCTTTTAGTGCTTCTGCCGTTTTTTTTTTTGTTTGTTTCATCTCTTCCACAAAAAAAGTCACTCAGAGAGATCAGGTGAATAGTGAGGGTGGGGCACAGGGGTCCTGCTGTTTTTGGTCAAACACTGCTGAACACGCCCTGGCTGGTGTGTAGCTCAGTGGACTGAGCATGGGCTGCAAACCAAAGGGTCGCCTGTTCAATTCCCAGTCAGGGTACATGCCTGGGTTGCAGACCAGGTCCCCAGTAGGGGGCATGCGAGAGGCAACCACACATTAATGTTTCTCTCTCTCTCTTTCTCCCTCCCTTCCCCTCTCTAAAAAATAAATAAAATCTTAAAAAAAACAAAACAAAACACTGCTGAACACTCAGTGTGGCATGAGCAGGTGCACTCGAAAATCACCCACCATGAAATGGGCAAACACATTGAAAGAGTCTTCAAAAAAATTCACTGAAGCTGAATGCAGCCTCTCACAACAATGCCAGCTGGTGCACTGATATAGATGGATTCCTAGAACGCTCACCTGGCAGGAGAAGCTTGTACTACAAGGGGCCTACCCTCCAGAAGATAATTCTGTTTTTTGGGGGGTCCCTCTTCATATGCACCCCTACAGTATACACCTTATTCAGTCCTTAGGTGTTAGATGGGGAAGGGGATACTGAAGAAGAGGTAAGAATATATATATTATTATATTTATGTAATATAAATATATTATATTATGAACATGTTAATATAGATTATATGTTGCATTATACATTAAGTAGCCTGTTATTTATGTTCTAATAGCACCTACACAAGTTAGTTAGATCCCATGTTACTGTAGTTAAAAGGGATCTTCAGGCTGACAAGTCTCTCTCCCGTCCTGAATAAAGTCTGTGATGTGGATGTCCCTTCCAGGATAGGAAGGGAACCCCACTTAGCCAGACAGCTGACTCCGTAGTTGTTCTTTCTTGCAGAAAGGCATGTTTTTTGGTGACTACCAGTAGGGCAGTCTTATGCCTGCTTGTGCACTTTGTTCCTCTGAGCGATTCTTTTTCCTTCATATAATTAATACATGTTCAGATGTTTGAGGATGCCCAAATACGTAGTTTCTCTTCAGGCTGAGAAATTGCCAGCTACTTCAGCCGTTTCCGTACATGACAGAATTTGCTGTACTGACTGCTCCACTTGACATGTGTCTCTCAAGCATAGCACCCAGAACACAGCCCAGCAGGCCCGGTGTCTTCTAATCAGAACAGAGGAAGAATGGACACCGCTTCCATGCACACACCCAGGGTTGATGCATTAAACCTCTTAGTCAAGACCACAGTCACCAAACCTTTCTGGAATTAGGCTGTGTCAGGGCTTTCTCAGCCTACACTTGTGTAACATGGTGCTCCATATGTGTAAGATTCATCTTAATAATTTGGGATTATTAGATCTCTTCTGTAAGGATCTTTTTTTTTGTTTGTTTATGCCTTGGTCCTTGTTATTTGTTATCTGTTCGAGAATTCATAGTGCTTTCAAGATAACACCAACCTTCTTTTGTGCGGCCCTATAAAATTTTCAAAACACTTTTACATATATTTCCTTTCATTAAGAATATTTTGTAATCCAAGGCCAGTCTTAAACACTGAGCATTATCTTGGAATTAAAATCAATTGACACACACTTGGGTGGACCAGGTGTTCTGCGCCTGAGCCTGGTGTTCAACTTCCTGATGCTATCTCTTGCTCTGTATTTGATTTCCCAGCCACGTGGAAAGGCATTGTGAGTCCCTTCCTGAAAAGAAGAGCCAAATAAATACCTGCACAGTCACTGAGGGGGCAGCCCTGTGGGAACTGAGGCTGGGCAGTTTAGGAGCCCTGCTCACCCTGCCTCTCTGACCCACAGCAGCCTTCCCTCTGCAGCCCAGAGGTCGGGTTCTGCCGAGATTTTACTCAGCAAGGTTAAAAAAAAAAACTCTGCTGATTTAAAAATATTTCTCTTAATAACTTGCATAGTTTATTCTGCATTGTTCTGAGTGAATTCTTGTTGGGCTGTAATGCTCATAACTTCTGTGAAAATGCCTAGAATTTTGCAAAAAAAAACCCCAGAAATGTCAGCTACACTCTCTAAGCTCCGTTTTTTCCCCGTATATCAAGCTTGGGATACTTATCTATCTCCAGCCTTCTGATATTTCTTCTGTTCTCCATAAATTCTCAAAGGTTGCTGGCTTTTATCCTGTTAGGACACCTGAGAATTATTTAAATATCCTGAGAAGTAATTTGTATTCTTTTTCTCAAGACTAGAAAGTGACTCAGGACAATTTAATTAAGATTAAAAATAATTACAATTTCATTGCAGTAGTAATATTTTTAAAAGAACCCACTCTTAATGTCAGTCTAGTGGTTTTTTAATTTCATCTAGTATATACAACACAGCAGTGAACGTATTCATGCGTATCTATTTTTAAAAGTTGAGTA